GTTTGTTTCATTCTTTTGCATATAAATTTCCAGTTCCACCAGCCCCATCTATGGAAGAGACTCAATGTACTATGGCCCTTCGTCACAGATCAGTTGGCTGTATGTGGATGAGTAAACTTGTGGATTCTCAATTCTGTTCCATTGATCTATGTATCTTTCATTGTACCAGTACCTGGCTGTTTTGACCACTGCAGCCATGTAGTAAAATTTGAAATCAGGGAGTGAGAGGCTTCCAACTTTGTTCTTTTTGAACAGTGTTTTGCTTATCTGGGGACTCTTTCCTTTCCATATAAAGTTTGTAATAGTTTTTTCCATCTGTTTAAAGAATGTTGTTGGAATCTGGATTGGGATTGTCTTGTATCTGTAGCTTGCTTTGGGTAATAGTCACATTTTTACAATGTTAAGTCTTCCTATCCAGGAACATGGTGTATTCTTCCATTTTTATAAGTCTCTTTTGGTTTCTTGTAGTAGTGTTTTGTAATTTTCTTAGTATAGGTCTTTTGTTTCTCTGGTTAGATTTTTTCCTAAGTATTTCATCTTTTGAGTGGCTATTGTAAACGGCATTGTTTTCCTAATGTCCTTTTCAATGCTGTCATTATTAGTACAGAGGAATATGGCTGATTTTTGTGTGTTGAAAGATCAACCCTGCCACTTTGCTAAATCTTCCAATGAGTCTTTGGGGTTTTCTATGTATAGGATCATATCACCTGCAAACAGACAGCACAAGGTTGATTTGAACTGCAAGGTCAGTGGTTCAAACTCACCAGCTGCTCCTCAGAAACCCTCTCCAGGGTCACTATGGGTCAGATTCAACTTGATGACACTTAACAACAACCACCATGTATATTAAAGTTAATTTTATGCAGTTATAATTTAATACCACATCTTTATGTTTGTTTACATCTCTCAACTGTGAATGGTGTCATGTGTGGTCTGTAAGTGTTTGTATGTATATGTTTTGATAAATGTTAACTTTTTATAATACTATTGTATCTATTTTATGGTTGTTATTTTTGTTGCAAAGTGCAGTAAAGTTGATTCTGATTCATAGTGAATCAGAATCCAAGGGGTGACTGGTGGGCTTGAGCCACCGATCTTTCAGAAGGCAGTTCTGTGTTTATCCTACAGTGCCACAGCAGGACTCCATATTTTATGGTGGTGGTGGTGATGGCTGTGTGGCGTGGAGTCGGTTCTGACTCATAGCGACCCTGTACAGGGTTGCCAAGGCTATCAATCTCTATGGGAGCAGAACGCTTCATCTTTCTCCCGTGGAGCAGCTGGTACTTTGAAACTGCTAACCTTGCGGTTCGCAGCCTGATTCGTAACCAGTACTCTTCCAGAGATCCTTATATTTTATGGTAGTAAATGGTAATAGACTAGTGTCTACATATATTTTATACATACCTAACTTTTTCTCGATATTTCTAGGCTATATGGTTTGTCTGAGAGTTTTTCCAAATTGTTGCAAAGCCCAAGAACATTGTTTTCAATATATTTATTGAAGAAAATCCACGTGTAAGTTCAAACCCATGTTGTTCAAGGGTCAACAGTACTTGGTAGAGATTTTGGCTGGTTGTTTCTCTAGGGATGGGAATTCTTTTACTTCAGTTCATTGTCAATACAGTGTTTCATTACTGTGGCAATAATTCTTCCTAATGTCAGTTCAGTCTACGGATACCTGGGAGAAAATTGCTTGGCATGCCTCAACGAAAAGAAAACAGATTATTGGAAAGGACAGTTATGCTGAGCACTGGCGGCCAGTCTGGTACATTTCACTTGGAAGAATTGTTTAAACTTTGCCCAAAAGAGCGCAGGGGCCAAAGGTTTCCTAACGTTACGTTGTCCTTTTGAACGTTGTATCCTGCCATTCTTTTGGAGTACACAAATTTTTAAAATTTGCTTTGGTTTCAGAAAATTTGTTTTCTTCCTTGGGCAAATATTGAAGGTTTCCAATCATATTTACAACTAAGCCCTAACATGCTAGAAAAGGTCACATGCACTTCTGAGCCACCGAAGGCTTGTTGAAAAGAGTCATGGCTTGACATCTTAGCACACTGACCGGAAGCTGGTTAAAGACAGATGGAGGCAGAGATGGGAACATGGAGAGAGGGAGCAGCTGAGGACTCTGGACTTAAGGAAAGAGAAGGACTGGGTGCTGGCGGCCAGGAGGCAGGCTTGTATAATGTGTCCTTTGGTTGTTTAAATTATTATATATTCCTGAGTGTTTCTGTGGACATCCCCCCAAAAAAACAAAACAAAACAGGGAATGGAAGCAAATGCTGTTGAATGATGATACATGGAGGAGATTGTAATCATTGTAATGAAATCATGGTGTAAAGCTGATGTTCTCCCATGTAAACTATCACTCAGTTCATGATAAAAACTTACCGGAAAAAAAAAAAAAGATGGCCCCACAAGCATACAATCCCCTTGTGCTTTTTTCATTAGACATTAGGCAAATCTGCTGCACAAGACCTTTTTAAAGTGTTCAAGAGCAAAGATGTCAGCTTGGGAGCTAAGGTACGCCTGACTCAAGTTATGATATTTTAAATAACTTCATATGTAGGCAAAAGTTAGTCAGTGAATAAGGAAGATGTTAGAAGAATTGATGCATTTGAGTTATGGTGTTGCAGGAAAATATTTAAAGTACCCTGGATGGCCAAAAGAACAAACATATATATGTTTGAAGAGGCGCAGCCAGAATGCTCCTTGGAATTCAGGATGGCCAGACTTGATCTCTCGTACTTTGGACATATTGTCAGGCGGGACCAGTCACTGGACAGGGATGTCATGTTTGGTAAAGTGAAGGTTTAGAGAAAAAGAGGAAGACCCCCAGTGAAGTGGATTGGCACGGTGGCAGCAGCAAAGGCATCAAACATAACAATAATTGTGAGGTTGATGAAGGACTGAGCAGTGTTTTGTTCTGTTGTGCACAGGGTCACTATGAGTCAGTGCCAACTCGATGGCACCTAACAACAATACCAGTCATTTATTATATCCTTGAAACATCGGACGCTTCTCTTGTGTTCAGGGGCTAATGTATAATTAACCTTCAGTCTAGGTGACATCACATAAAAGGAAAGTTCCATACACCCTTTAAATTACCTATATTATACAGCACACATGGTTTTGTGTACATCTATATGTTGGTATGCAGCATTTATTATAACATGAAAATTAGAATACACAGTTTACGTACAGTGAAAAAGTGTTGTGCTGTATCACTTGACTTACAAGTATGCATAATGAGACCCCACTTTAGGTGCTGGATATCATCTAGATAAAGGCTTTTCTGCATGATTTTACCTGAAGGCTCATAACAGCAGTATCAGGCAAGTTTTGTCACTGGTATTTCACAGACAAGAAAACCAAGACTGAAGAGGGTGGGTAAATTTTCTAGGTAACAGAACTGACTGAGATAAAGAGGGACCAGATGAAGTTCAGTATTTAACTGCCTGGTTGCAAAGCTTGACTCTCAACCACACTGGATGGTCCTCCTGGGGCCCCAGAAAGCCCAGCTTTAGTCCCTGAAAATATCCTGTAAGACCTATTTTTACAATTCTCCCTTTTTTCAGTAAGTTCAACTCAGTCAAACACATTTACTCATCTACTTATTGTGAAAGATGACTTTCAATATTTTATTTGTCTACAGTCTGAAGAGAAGATGGCCAGTTTTCTAAGCCAGGAAATAGAGCAAGAATAGAATATTTATTTGTTAGTATTATTTCTGAAGTTATATTAAAGTAGTGGCTAATTAAGAAGGTATAGGCTCTGATTATAACTCTCAATCTGTATAGATAATTCAGACTCTCATTCTCTACAAGTGGACGGTGGTTATTCGTAGACACTACTGAGTTGTTTTGACTCACAGTGACCTCATGTAACAGAGAGGAACTGTCCCATGGAGTTTGCTTGGCTGTCATCTTTTGGGAAGCAGACCTGGGGTCTTTCTCCTGTGGAGTCACTTAGTAGGTTAAAACCTCCAATCTTTAGGATAGCAGCCGAATGCTTAACCATTGCGCCACCTGGAACCCTTAAGTGGACACTGGGCTGTGAAAATCGAGCATTTTTCAGTTATTAATTGGTACTATCAAATAACTTTGAGATCTTGTTGTTAGGTGCCAGGGAATTGGTTCCAACTCATAGCGACCTTGTAAAGGGTTTCCATGGTGCAGTTGGTGAGCTTGGACCGCCAACCTTGTGGCTCAAACTGACCTTGCAGTCCAGTGCATTAACCACACCAGGGCTCTTTAGAAAAATATTATTTTTATTAACTTAAAAAAAAAAAAGTGGCCCTTGAAATTAGGTTTTTAATAATCTGGACCCTCTAGCACACAACTATGGAAGACCAACTCTCTTTTGATTCAATAGTCACAGTGGTGCGGTGGTTGTAAGTCGTTGAGTCGGTTCCAACACATAGTGACCCTGTATAGAGTTTCTGAGGCTATAAATCTGTACAGGAGCAGAAAACTGCATCTTTATCCAAGAAGCTCCTGGTGGACTAGAACTGCTGACCTGAGGTTAGCAGCCCAACACACTGCACCACTAGCTCCTTTCAATAGTCAGACGTGTCTTTAAAAAGACCCTCCCACATTTTCCAAAGTCAGAGCCTATGAACTCTTACTTGACCCTCAATTTTATTACTTTAGCATCTGTTATTCTAGAAAGCAGAATAGAAGTACCCAATTAGCTATTGTAGTGGAAAATGAAAAGCTGACCATGAGTGAAAACATAAAACTGAAAAAGTAGGCAAATATATTGCAATAATACACAGTCTCATGAAGGCCTGTAAGAGATTGTTTTTTACAATGTAGAATCTTGTTTTGACCTGGGATAAGATCACACACAAATGGTTCACATAGCTCACACTGGGACTTGCTGTTAAACCACCAGGAGAATGGTCCCCACAGATTGAGTACAAGCCTTGTCTGTACCCCGAAACCTATGTCCTAAAGCAAAGTTTGCCATCGGGGTTTTTGGCAGCTTGCCAGGGGACTCACCGTAGGCGCAGTTCCTCCCCTCATAACCATGGGAGCAGTTGCAGGTGTAACTGCGGATATTATCATGACACGACCCGTTGTTCAGGCAGGGCTGGGAGACACACTGGGTGCCACCTATTAGAAGAGAGGCAGTGAAGATGAAGACGTTATGACAGGTGATAAGGCAGGGTGAGGGGGTCTCTCAGCCATCCTCCCCTCTGCCACAAGCACATTGCTAACTCAGCCCTTGACCCTGCAGACCATGTGCCCTGCCTGTGTGTGCAGGACCCCAGGAAGCTGGACACAGGCCACGGGAACTGAGGTTCTCTCCTGTTCCAGCTAGATGGTAGTTCTCAGTGTCCAGATGCGGGAGACCTCAGTATCTGTCATTAGCAGATTTTGTTTCCCAAAAGCCCCTTAATCTTTTTTCCCTTTCTTCATTCTTGCTTTCTTCTTTGAGTAAATAACACCAGGATTCTACAGTAATTGCTTAAACTACATATGTATATGTATATATATGTTTTGTTTTGTTTTGCTTTGCTTCCGTCCACTTCCCCTTCCACACACCCCTGTGTCGTCTCTCTTTATCACTACACTCTACCTGGTGGTAGTGATGGTCCTTGTGTGCTGTGGACTCTGTTCCCACTCATAGCGACTTTGTATGGACCCCAAAGCCTCATCCTACTCCCGCAGAATGGCTGGTAGTTTCGAACTGTTCATCTCGAGGTTAGCAGCCAGACTCCTAACCACTACGCTACCACAGCTCCTTACTCTCACGGTTGGTATCTTCCCATTGATTCTGGCTCATGGTGATGCATCTGTGTGGAGTAGAACTGCTCCATGGGGTTTTCAAGGCTGTGATCTTTCAGAATCAGATTCCCAGGCTGGTTCCTGAGGAGCCTAGTGGTGGGCTTGAACCACCAACCTTTCATCTAGTCGTTGTGCACTTGTTCCTTTGTGCCACCAGAACTCCTCACTGCAGCCTCCCACTCACCAAGACTCTTGCCACACGGGTGCCTAAGCTTTCCTCAACCCAAAGTAATCTAGAGCTAGAGCATGGCTTTTCAAAATTAAAACAAAACAAAACATATGAACACTTAAAAAAAAAAAAAGAAATCATACCTGAAACCCCAAAAGGTAATACAGAAAAAAAGCAATTGCTTTGGGTGAGGGAGAGAAGACCTTTTTGCTTCCTCCCTACTCAGAGCAGCCCCAGAGATTCTAAGGAACTAAGATTATGGGGCCCATTCTGAAAACCATCACTTCAATGTCTTCTCGGGATAGACTCAAGTCACCTCTGAAAAAAGTGGGAGCTTTCTGATCACATCCTGATGAAGAATTAATTAATACCAGTGCCTTTGGGGTTATAGCTGTAGTTCCAGGAGACATCAGTGTCTCAAAAGTTTGAACTCCACTGGTCTAACATTATTATTAAGGAGTCCTGGTGTGGTGCTGTGGATTAAAGGGATGAACTGCAAGTTTGGCGGTTCAAGCTCACCAGCTGCTCCTTGGAAACCCTATAGAGGGTCACTATGAGTTGTATATGAGTCAATATGACTCAATGACACTTGGCAGCAACGCTATTAAAAGAGTCCTGGTACGGCACTGTAGGATAAGCCTTGGGCTGCTAACCCAAAGGTCAGAGGTTCAAACCCACCAGCCATGCTCCTCAGAAACCCTATATAGAGTTGTTGCTATGACTCAGAGAGCTTAGCAACAACAACAACAAAGCTATTAAGAATGCTTAAGCTGACTCCTTACCTCATCTCAAAGAAAAAGAATCAGAAATAATACTTAAAAGAGAAATAAGAGAAAATCACTTACCCATATACCATTTCCAAAATTTATTCTGTAAAATTGAAACATAGAAAATGTTAAAAATGGACCATTCCCCTCACCCCCCATCCCTGTATTTTCTCCTCAAGATGGATTTTAAAATAAGAAAGGTTGATCTTATTCACCTAACCCGAAATGCAACATATTTTATGACTGGTGTGGTGCTGTGGGTTAATGCACTGGACTGCAAGGTAAACGGAGAAGACACTGCATCTGTCCAGGATTTCATTGCACTAGGAACCACACACATGGAAGCAGTAGTCAATAAATCAAATGATGTATTGCATTGGGCAAATCTGCTGCAAAAGACTTTTGTAAAACCTTAGAATGCCAAGATGTCACTTTGATGACTAAAGCTGACATCCTGGAGCTTCCAACACCTTATGCATGTGAGAACTGGACAGTGAAGAACAGAAGACTGAAGAATTGATGCTTTTGGATTATGAATATATCAAGAATATTGAATATGGTCTGCCAGAAGAATGAACAAATCTGTGTTGGAATATAGCCAGAATGTTCCTTAGAAGGGAAGATTGCAGAGTTGTCTTGCTTACTTTGCACATGATGTTAAGAAAGATCAGTCCCTGGAGAAGGACATCATACTTGATAAAATTGAGGGTCAGTGAAAAAGAGGAAGATACTCAACGAGATGCAGTGACACTGTGGCTACAACATGCGTTTGAATGTGCCTGTTATTGTAAGGGTGGTGTAGGACCGAACAGTGTTTCATTCTGTTATACACAAGGTCCTTATGAGTGGGAACCGACTCCAAGGCGCCTAACAAGAACAGGTGCTTCTCATTTTAATCATGTGTCTATCCTATTTAGAGACGGGCATGCAGTCTGTGACAGTAGACACAAGAACCTTGACCTCATCCTCTTTTGTGTCATTTACTCCCCAAAGGAAATAGTCATTGTGTCAGTAGAATAGAAAAAGATGTTGGCTTAATTGAATTTACTGTAACTAATTTGCCAGTGTGCAGAATCATCTGCTAAAATGTGCAGTCAGCCAGGACTGGGTGGTGTTTGAAGATACGACGGTGATCTGGAGATGAGCGTAGCGTCAGTACAACAGGACCTGAGGGACTTGAGGCTTTCCTCCTTTTGGAGCAGAATGCTTGTCCTTAAAAATGACCCCTCAGAGGCCTGGGCATAAGATACCTACAGGCGGGCTCCTACAGAGCTCTTCTAATTCATAGTCACTTCCTACAAGAGACTGAGTCTGGAAAGAAGTATCAAAATCAAAACTGACTGAGAGAGAACTTGACCCCCTTTGCTGATGACCTTGACCCTGGTCTGGAAACACTGGGAGAAAACAATGGGCCACCTGCTCTGAAGAGACATCTGATACCTGGGAGCTGGGCTTACTTTGGAAACTGGAACAGCTCTTCGAGCCCAGGAGAGAATAAAATCTGTTGCCTTTGGGTTGAATCAGACTCACGGCGACCTCGTGTGTTATAGAACTGCTCCTAAGGGTTTTCTTAACTGTAATCATTACAAAAGCAGATTGCCAAAGCTTTCTCCCATGGTGCCACTGGGTGGGGTCACACTGCCAGCCTTGTCAGTTTCAACTAAACTAAATCTAATTTAAAACATTAAAATTGTTAAATTGTTCCACCACTCATATGCCAGTTTGTTGTACTGTAATGGATTGCACGTTGCTATGCCAATGGGGTGTTTATTTCATAGACCAACCAGAGGTATTTTGTCTGAGTATTGACAAGCAGATGTGTGTGATGTTGTTGTTGTGGTGATGGTGTACCGTGGAGCCAGTTCCCATTCATAGTGACCTTGTACAGGATTTCTGAGGCTGTAAATCTTTACGGGAGCAGAAAGTCTCATCTTTCTCCCACAGAACAGCTGGTAGTTTCAAACTGCTGACCCTGAGGTTCGCAGCCTGATTCATAACCACTACGCTACCAGAGCTCCTTGATGTGTGAAATGGGGAACGCTAATTAATGTGCTTAACGTCTTAATATAAAGAAACAGTTTCAGAATGCGAGACTCAGTTAGTGTCCCGGGACCACTACTTAATAGCTGTGTGATGGTTTCCTTTGTAAAATTGGGATTATGTCCATTTTAACCAAGAGTAAGTAAATAGGATGAGTTGGTTCTGACTCATAGAGACCCCGTGCACAACAGCACGAAAAACTGCCCCTTCTTTGCTATTCAAAAATAAACAAAGTATCATTATGTTTGAGTGCATTGTTCCAGCCACTGTATCAATTCATCTCGCTTAGTCTCTGAGATCTTGTATTCTCTGTGGGTTAATGTGCTGGACTGCAAAGGCGGTTTGAACCACACGGTCAGCGGTTCAAGCTCACCAGCCACTCCTTGAAAACCCTACACAGGGTCACTATGGGTTGGAACAGACTCAATGGCACTTAACAACAAGACAGCAGAAGTTTACACAATCAGAAATGTATGTGACTTCAGGGGGCGGGGAGCACATACAGTGATAAGGTCGTTTTCAAATACTTCTCTTGCTTCTTCGTAAACACAGATTTCTTCATAACATTCTTTTTCCAAATTTCCCTCAAAGAGCTCTTCTAAAAGATATGAGCTAGCACGCTTCCATCTCATGAGAACTTCGTTTGCTTTTGAGGCTGAAAGAAATACTATATAGCAAGACAAGAATTTAGATATTACCAATATTAATGGACTTACCCAGATATAGAGATACTGACCTTTCAAAGGAGACTAGACTGAAACAAAGTGAATGATTTCTGTCTTGCTGCGGGTTAATGCACTGGACTTCAATGTTGGTTTGAATCACAAAGTTGGTGGTTCAAGCTCACCAGCCGCTCCTCAGAAACCCTATACAGGGTCACTATGGGTCGGAACCAACTCAACAGCACTTGACAACACCAACAACAATCAGACTGTAAACTCCATGTCTGAAGCTCACTACTTTATATTCATGGCCAACCCTGGTGTCTGACATACGGTAGGACTGCAATTCACTTTTGTTGAATGAATGAGCAACCCTTAAGAATTAGGTGGGATGGGCAGATATAATAATGTTTTATGAATTCAGGGTTTGAGACTTGCAGAGTGTCTAGTTACCTACTGCAGCCATAACAACAACAACAAAAGTACACAAGTGTGTGACTTTAAAGAACAGAAACTTAACTTCTCATGGTTCAGGAGGTTGTTGCTATGTGACATTAAGTGGATTTTAAGTGCCCCAAAGTGACAGAGTAAAACTGCCTCACATCATTTTCTGGGGTGTAATCTTTATGAGAGCGGAACTCCAGGTCTTTCTCTCGCAGAATCACTGAGTTCAGAACCGTAAATGCTGTTACACCACTGGGCTCCTTGTCCTAGAGCTAGGGGCCCTGATTTTTTTTTTTTTCCAATTTAAAAGTGTTTATTGTGTCTTGAGTGATAGTTTACATGGGAGAACATCGGTTTTACACTCATCGTTTAATTGCAATGATTACTATCTCCTCCGTGCATCATCACTCAACAGTATTTGCTTCTATTCCCTCTGTTTTTTTGGGGTTTTTTGCTTTTGATGTACACATAAACACTCAGGAATATACAATCACTTAAACAACCCAAGGACACATTCTGCAAACCTCCCACCTGGCCGCCAGCACACAGCCTTTCTCTTCCCATGAGTCTAGAGTCCTTAGCTGCTCCCTCTCTGCATGTCCTCATCTCTGCCTCCATCTCTGGTGTCACTGGGGGCTCTGATTTTTAGCTGAGCACATGGCTGCCCTGAATAAAGCCTCTATTTTCTGGGCTTCCCTGGGGCTAAGTGTTTCCCTGGGACTAAGCACTGGACTATGAGATGTAAATAAAAGATTGGTAGCTCACATTTACCCATGGAAGAAAGATCTGTCAAACGGCTTCTATAAAGATTGTTGTTGTTAAGTGCTGTTGAGTTGGTTCCGGTTCACTTTGACCCTATATAGGGTTTTCAAGGAGCAGCTGGTGAGTTTGAACTGCCGACCTTGCAGTCTAGTGCTTATCCTACTAAAACTCGATGGGGCAGTTCTGCTTTGTCACATGGGGCTGCTATGAATTGAAATTGACTCGACAGCAAACAACAACAAAACAACAGCTCTCCTAGTCGGTACAAGAGGTGAAGGGTTTTTAGTTTCTTTGTTCTAAAGGTTTTAATCAGAAAAGTGTTATGACCCAGTTTTGTTGTTATTATTATCATTCCTTAATCATTCTATTTGTTGTTGTTAAGTGCCATTGAGTCAGTTCCGACCCGTAACAACCCTGTATTGGGTTTCCGAGGATTTACTGTGTAGACAATGGGTTACTGGAAATAGCAGTGAATGTACAGAAACCAAATAAGAGACTGACTGTCCAGGACTGTTGTTGGTAAGTGCCAACCAAGTTGGTTCTGACTCACGGTGACCCTGTATAGGGTTTCTGGGGGTTCTGGTGTGGCACTTTGGGTTAATATACTGGACTGCAAGGCTGGTTTGAACTGAGTGGTCAACGGTTCAACCTTACCAGCTCCTCCTTGGAAACCTTATACAGGATCGCTGTGAGTCAGAATCAACTGGATGACAATGAACAACAATAGCAACATAGGGTTTCTGAAGCTTCCTCAGAAACTTCCATGGCACTTTCAATAAATCTTGGCGCCAGCAGATAGCCTCATAGTTCTCCCATGGAGCGACTGGTGGGCTTAAACCGCTGACCTTGTTCACAGTCCAGTATTTATCCTACAGACGCACTGAGCTCCCATCCAGAAAAACCCTGTCAAATACAAATGTAAGGCATGTATGTCCCATATGTAGCTTTAAAGTTTCTAGTAATCACATTATAAAACATATTTAAAAAGCCCAGGCAAAACTAAGTTCAACCATGTAAGTATTAACTCAATGGGTTCAAAATAGCATTATAAATTCAACATATAATCAATATTTAAAAAAATATTAACGAATAGCACATTCTTATTTTGGTACTAGGTCTTGGAGAGCCAGTGTGCATTTTAAACTTTCAGATACCTCAGCTTGAATTGGCTACATTTCAAGTGCTCAGTAGCTGTGTGGCTAGTGGCAACCACCTTGGACAGTAGATTCCCAGACCTTTATTCCTGCACATCTCTGGGTGGACTTGACCCTCCACCTTTTTGGTTAGCCGGTGAGCACGTTAACCATTTACACCATTCAGAAGGGTAGACATAACTGAAGTCAGACACTTACCTGACTGCTCTGTCTGTTGAGGTAAGAGGACAAGGAAAAGCACCAGAAAGTAGCCCGCCATTCTAATTCAGTGAGCTAGTTCCCTGCCGACAAGCGGGGTTCTGCCGGGCAAGGTTTGCAAACACAGCCAAAGTTCAAAGCTCAGCTGACCAGGCTTCCACAGGGACCTGTCTTTGTTGACCTAGAGCAGTCTTTCCCTACCATGGGAAGAAGGACTGCTTTAGAAAGGGGCTCACAGCAAAATGCCACTGCGAACAAATTACTAGACTAAAGCAAAAAGAACTCTGAAGGAAAATGAAACAAAACTTGAACATAGTTTTATTGGATAAATTCATTATTCTAAACATGTGCTTTATTACCCTTGTGTTTTCCTGCTTAAAGCTAAGAAAGGGAAGAGAAGCCAGACAAACGAAAAGTTAAGGCAAAGAGGGCCTTGGTAAGATGTTAAGGGGAGTAAAGACAAAGGTGATCAAAGGTGATATATTTAAAGGTAATTAAGTTCTGGTAGCGTAGTGGTTATGAATCGGGCTGCGAACCAGAAGGTCAGCAGTTCGAAACTACCACCTGCTCCGCGGGAGAAAGATTAGGCGATCTGCTCCCGTAAAGATTTACAGCCTCGGAAACCCTACTCAGGGTCGCTATGGGTCGAAACCGACTCGACGGCACTTAACAACAACAACAACAACAGAGAAATGTGGACTCCTGGTGTGCCATTGTAGGGTCAACACTGGGCTTTATACCACAAGGTCGGCAGTTCAAACCTACCAGCTGCTCCTCGGACACCCTATACAGGGTCCATATGTGAAACTAACTGGAGAACACTTAACAACAACAGAGAAATGTAATTGTAGAATCTTGCGCAGGGAGAAGATTCATTCATACATGCAGTCATTCATTTAACAAAGCTAAAGTGAGCTTCTACTACTATATGCCGGCATTGTTCTGGCTACAGGCATACTGCTGTGAGCCAAACAGATATTATCACATGAAACTTACATTCTAAGCTGGGTGGAGGATGGGGATTCACAGGAAGGAAGGAGGCAGGAAGAGAGGAAAATGAGAAGAGAAGGAGGGAGGTGGGAAGGAAAAAATAAGGGTAAACGAATGTCAAATTGTGTCATTAAGAAAATTATGGTAGTTCAGGGGATCTAGAGGGCTGAGGTGCTATTTTAGATAAAAGATGGCTACGAAAGGCTCTCTATTGGAGCAGAAATCTGAACATAAGTAGAGAGAGTAACATTTCTCTGAAGGATCCGCACCCAGGCAAACAATGAGACGGAGGCATGTTTGAAGAACAGTAAGCAGGTCAGTGTGGCCGGTGGAGAATCCACAAGGAGGCAGAGAAAAGGAATGAGACCAGAGAGAACCAGGACTTGGACCATGTAGGCTGGGATCAGCAAATTTGTTTTGTCAAGTGCGTGAGTCCAGCTCTCGCAGGGTCGTGAGACCCGAGAGGCTACGCGGAGTTGGCGAAAGTGAAAGTAATCGAGGAGTCTCCGCTTAGTTGATTGATGGAGCTCTCATCAGTCTGTCTGACTGTCTGTCTGCCCTGGCTCAGCAAGTCTCTATTTTTAAACTTAAAATTACACAGTGTATAATGATTTGATACTTTGATTTTCCCCTTGAATTATTACACATTTTTAATCACAACATTCCTTCATCCTGGGATTATACAACCTTAACAAAAGTATTTCTATGATGTCCAACCTGACCTTTCCAATATCCTGTTCATTTCTAACCATTAAGCATTTTTCTTTTGACATCATCTCCTCTCCTACGTAAGTGATAGATTGTTTCTTCTTATTCCCACTAAAAGATCAAGTTAAACCTTACACAAATCATTTCCACTTATCACATCCTCTTAGTAATATGTTTCTATTAATCATCAATGCCTACACTACTTTATTGTTTCTACTAACTAATTATCAATCTTCTATCCTACATAATGTACTACTATTTTTTTTACAGTAAAAGCATTACTAACATCTGCTTAATTATTTTGTTTTTCTAAAGTATTCATTAAATTGCTTAACCACAGTTTCCTATTTTTCCTTCTTTTGAGGCTGTGAGGCGTATTAAAAAAAGGCTCAACCTGGCTAATTGCTGCAGGAAATGTAGATTATTAAGTTTTGACCACCTTTTACTTATGTTCGCTATTCTCTGCCTATTACGTAGGTGCCTGTATGTAATAGTTGGGGTTTGTGAATTCTGGCTAGTAATTGATTTAGGTGAGGTCTATAGGGGTCGGTCAGCTTTACTTTAGTTTGTTATCTGCTTTTGTGATCTCATAAATGCAGTTGCTTTGTACTCAGGTTTTCTGTGAAAGGGAGTAGCTCATACAATTCCCTTTGAATCTAACCCAGTGAAGCTAAAACAATTGTTGCCAGACTGGTTTCTTCCTAAACTCTGCAGAGCTCATAGTAAAAGCCGTGAATATGACAACATTGTATTTTTTTACAAGTGAATTCAGAGTAATCCTAAAGGGGAGATAGAGGATGCCCTTCCAGAGAATCATTTGCTTTGCATGATGTTTCTCCTTTCGCCGGGACTGTGTCAAACGGCAGAAGTGGAGCAGCTTCCGGCAGTCAAGGCTGAGAGTCTGTATGTTCAGCTTCGTAGCCCAAATTGTATCTATCACAACTACTCAGCTTTGCTATTTTAGTTCAAAAGCAACCTTGGTGGTGGTGGTATTTTGTAGAATTGTTTTCAATTCATAGCAACCCTGCATAGGGTTACCAAGCCTGTCGATCTTTACAGGAGCAGAAAGTCTCATCTTTCTTCCACAGAACAACGGCTGACCTTGAGGTTAGTAGCCTGACTCTTAAGTACTACGCCACCAGAGCTCCTCAAGAAGTTGTACATGAATGGGTGTGGCTATGTTCTAATAAATCTTTATTTACAAAGAGTAGGCAGCCTATGGGATTTGGCCCGTGGGTTGTAGTTTGCAGACCCCTGAAATAGTTGTTGTTGCTAAGTGCCATCGAGTCAGCACCGACCCATAGCGACCTTAGGCACAGTAGAATGAAACACTGCCCGATCCTGGGCCAACCTCACTATTGTTGACACTCTTGAGTCCATCAATGCTGCCACTTGGCCAATCCATCTCGTTGGGGGTCTTCCTCTTTTTCTCTGAACCTCCACCTTACCAAACATGATATCCTTCTCCAGCAACTGGTCCCTCCTGACAACATGTCTAAAGTATGAGAGCCAAAGTTTGATCATCCTAGCCTCCAAGGCGCACTCTGTCTGCACTTCTTCCAAAACGGATCTATTGGTTCTTTTGGCAGCCCATGGCACTTTCAATATTCTCTTCCAACACCATAACTCAAATGCATCAATTCTTCTACAGTCTTCCGTATTCACTGTCCAGCTTTCACATGCATATGAGGTTATTGAAAATACCATGGCTTGCTTCAGCCACACCTTAGTCCTCAAGCTGACATCTTTGCTCTTCAACACGTTAAAAAGGTCTTGTGCAGCACATTTGCCTAATGTAATATGTCACTGGATTTCTTGACTGCTGTTTCCGTGAGTGTTGATAGTTGATCCAGGAAGAATGAAGTCCTTGACAACGTCAATCTTTTCTCCATTGATAAGAATGTTGTTTATTGGTTCAGTGGTGAGGATTTTTGTTTTCTTTACACTGAGATGTAATCCATACCGTAGGCTGTGCTCTTTGATCTTCATCAATAAATGTTTTAAGTCCTCTTCACTTTCAGCAAGCAAGGTTGTATCATCTGCACATCGTAGGTTGTTAATGAGTCTTCCTCCAATCCTGATGCCACGTTTTCTTCATATAACCCAGCTTCTTGGATTATTTGCTCAACATACAGGTTGAGTAAGTATGGTGAAAGAATACAACCTTGTTGCACACCTTTCTTAATTTTAAAACATTCAGTGTTCCCATGTTCTGTTCAAACAACTGCTTCTTGGTCCAGGTACAGATTCTTCATGAGCACAATTAAGTGTTCTGGAAAATGATCCACACAATCGAAAGCCTTTGTGTAGTCAATAAAGCACAAGTAAGCATCTTTCTGATATTCTCTGCTTTCTGCCAAGACCCATCGGACATCAGCAATGTCCACGGCCTCTTCTGAATCCAGCTTGAACTTCTGGAAGTTCTCTGTCAATGTATGATTGTAGCCGTTTCTGTATTACTTTTAGTAAAACTTTACTCGCATGGGATATCAAAGAGATTGTCCGATGATTTCCACATTCCGTTGGGTCACCTCTCTTTGGAATGAGCATAAATATGGTTCTCTTCCAATCAGTCGGTCAGATAGTTGTCTTCAAAATTTCTTGGCAGACATGAGTGATTGCCTCCTGCGCTGTTTCACTTTCTTGAAAGATTTCAATTTTTACTCCATCAATTTTTGGTGCCTTGTTCTTTGCCAATTCCTTCAATATACCTTGAACTTCTTCCTTGAGTATCATTGGCTTTTGATCATATGTTACCTTTTGAAATGGTTGTACATTAATCATTTCCTTTTGGTACAGTGACTCTGTGTATTCCTTCCATCTTCTCTTGATGCTTTCTGCATCATTCAATAATTTGCCCAGAGAATCTTTCAATAATGAAAATTGAGGATTGAATTTTTTTCTTCAGTTCCCCCAGCTTGAGAAATGCTGAGTGTGTTCTTCCTTTTTGGTTTTCTGATTCCAGATCTTTGCACATTTTGTTGTAATATTTCCCTTTTCCTTCTCGATCTCATCTTTGGTCTTTAGTGTTTAATGTATCAAATCTGTTCTTCAGATGATGTCTAAATTCAGGTGGGATATATTCAAGGTCATATGTTGGCTCTCGTGGACTTGTTTTCATTTTCTTCAGCTTCAGTTTGAATTAGCATAAACAAGGCCGTTGGCCTTGTTTTCACTGATGATATGGAGCATTTCCATCTTCTCTTTCTGCAGTTGTAATCAATTTGATATCTATGTATTCCATCTGGTGAGGTCCATGTGTATAGTCATCTCTTATGCTGTCTAAAGAAGTTATTGGAAATGAACAAATCATTGGTTTTGCAGAATTCTATCATGCGTTCTCTAGCGTCATTTCTATCACCA